ACGAAAAAAGTTATCCATTTATTTCTATTTTTGTAACTGTTCAAAATAATTTCAAATAATAGTTTCAGAACGCTAGGTGCGTTCTGAAACGTTCCTACACACGAAATGACGATTCATTTCATGAGTTAAAGGACTTGGTATTCAAAGACTATAATTATTCACGTTTTTATGAATAGTTGTTAATTTTAATTCAATTCAATTAGTATGTAGACATCAAATCAACTACTATGCTGATTTATTATGTACTGGATTCTTGCCATAAAAATAATTTTCTAGGTCATAGTAAGCTAAACGTTTTGTTCAATTACATATGTACAACGGAACGTCATTTGTCATCGCTTAGTCTGTGGTCATCAATCCGCGCCATTATTGTTTTCTCTAGTATATACACAGTAATCTATGATTGTTATTTTCTTCTGTTGTTTTGACTTCGGTATTGTTTTACGGACTGATTTTTTCACATCTTGATTAATTGTGAGAGACATCGTGCAACCTACACTGCTATTGCTAGCCTTTTAAATAAATTCAGTGTTCGATTAAAAACAGGAATGATGCTGAGCAAATCATAAATGTGATTGGAGAAGGATTTTCATTAAATAATAATTTATCTGATTTTATAAATAGTATGTATGTGGTCTATGGTACTGAAGCCTTTTCGGAAACCGGCTTGTTCGGGAGGCAGGAAGTCGTCAAGTCTGCGTGCGAGACGATTCGTAATGACTCTCGAAAACAGCACGTAGACGCGGCTCAGAAGGGAAATCGGTCTGTAGTTCTTTAAGAGAGCGTTGTCGCCTTTCTTAAAGAACAAGACCACCGCACTTCTGCTCCACGCCTCTGGAGTAGTGCCACCATGGAGGACGGAATTGAAGAGCTTCTGAAGGACTTCAAGTACCGGTGTTCCACCCGCTTTCAGAAGCTCCGCTGTAATTCCATCCTCGCCTGGGGCCCTGCCGTTTTTAAGGTGCTGGAGAGCCATTCTAATCTCGCTTAGACTGACGTCCGGGATATCATCGGAATAGTGTCGGATAAGACTTGCTCTTGGATCGTTACTCACACTTGCGTGTGGCTCCAACGATGATGTGTACAGCTGCCCATAGAACCTCTCAATCTCACTCAAAATCTCAGGTGTCCCGGAAACGATGTTGCCACACTCAGTCTTCAGCCTTGACAGTTGGCTCTTTCTGGCAGACAGATCTCTGGCAAAGACTTTGGAGCCCTGGTTCCGCTCGATCGCTTCTTTAATACGAGAAGTTTTAAAGTTGCGTAAGTCTCGCCTTATGCATTTGGAGATCTGTCTGTTCAGTTGCCTGTATGCTGTCAAATCTGTTGACGATTGCAGCCTCATCTCCCGTCTAACAGCCATGAGATTAAGAGTGTGATCGGAGAGTTTTTTGTGTTCTTCTGCGGCGGGTCTTGCAGAACTTAGCTCCGACCGCATGGACAGTTTCCACGAGCTTGTCGTTCATATCGTCCACTGCATTGCAATCTTCTAGGCACTGAAAGCGGTTACGTAACTCGAGCTAAAAGGTTTCGGGATTCTGGATTAGAGCACGAGGGGGACGGAGCGTTGACTTCATTAGACGAGACCTCTCCAACTTAACGTTTAGGTTCAGTGTGCCTCTAACCATTCGGTGATCGCTGCCAGTTTTCACCCTTGCGATCACTGAGACATCACTGAACAGTTGGCGTCTGGTCGTCATAATGAAGTCAATCTCATTTTTTGTCGAACCGTCGGGGCTCGACCAGGTCCACTTCCTGTGGGGCCGCTTCTGGAAGAAAGAGTTCATCATAAAGAGTCCCTCTTTCTCCATAAAGTCGGCCAGCTGCTGGCCCCTTCGGTTCCGTTGCCCTACTCCAAATTTCCCTACCTTCAGCTCACCGCTTTCTCTTGTGCCCAGTTTTGCGTTGAAGTCTCCCATCAACACCGTGCAGTAGGTTTTGGAGGAATGTATGGCTCTGGAAATATCCTCATACATTTCCTCCACCTCCTCATCGGGATGTGCCGAGGTTGGTGCGTAAACCTGAATGACCTTCAGCGAATACCGTTTGGTGATTCTGAGTATCAGGTACGCGACCCTCGTCGACACACTCCCAATCTTTACAACGTTGTTGACGAGAGATTTGTGGACGATAAATCCGACACCTCCTTGGGACAGATGGTCACCCTCCCGGTGATAGAACAAGTTGCCGGACTCGAGGATTGCCGTGTCCTCCCCCTCTCTTCGGACCTCGGATAATTTGCCTGGCGTATGTGGACTATGAGAAAGCCTTTGATTCCGTCGAAATTTGGGCGGTGCTACAGTCCCTTCAGCGGTGCCAAGTTGACTGTCGGTATATCGAAGTGCTGAAATGTTTGTACAGTAGGGCTACGATGGCTATCCGAGTACAGAACCAGAGCTCGAAACCTATCCAACTGCAGAGAGGTGTAAGACAGGGTGACGTTATATCCCCGAAACTCTTCACCGCTGCATTGGAAGACGTTTTCAAGCTACTGGACTGGAAAGGATACGGTATTGACATCAATGGCGAGTACATCACTCACCTTCGATTTGCCGACGATATAGTCCTTATGGCAGAATCGCTGGAGGACTTAAGCACTATGCTCAATGACCTCAATAGTGCCTCCCAACGGATAGGTCTTAAGATGAACATGGACAAAACAAAGATCATGTTCAATGTCCATGTCACACCTATGCCGGTAGTTGTTGGGAGCACTATGCTCGAAGTTGTTGACGAATACGTTTACCTGGGACAAATAGTCCGACTAGGTAAGTCCAACTTCGACCGAGAGGTCAATCGACGGATTCAACTCGGCTGGGCAGCGTTCGGGAAATTACGGCATATCTTTTCGTCAGGTATACCTCAATCTCTAAAAACTAGATTGTACAACCAGTGAGTGTTGCCAGTGATGACTTACGGATCTGAGACGTGGTCCTTCACTGCTGGCCATATGAGGACGCTTAAGGTCGCTCAGCGAGCTATGGAGAGGGCTATGCTCGGAGTTTCTCTGCGTGATAGACTCAGAAATGAGGATATCCGCAGTAAAACCAGAGTGACCGACATAGCCCAACGGATTAGTAAGCTGAAGTGGCAATGGGCCGGCCATATAGCTCGAAGAACCGATAACCGATGGGGAAGAAAGGTTCTCGAGTGGCAGCCTCGTACCGGTAGGCGTAGTGTAGGGCGACCCCCACTAGATGGAGTGACGACCTGGTAAGACATGCAGGAAGTCGATGGATGCAGGTGGCTCAGGACCGTGCTTTGTGGCATTACTTGGGGGAGGCCTATGTTCAGCAGTGGACTTGTGAAGGGCTGTAATGATGATGATGATAAATAGTATGAATATGAATAGACGAACATTTGATTTTACTAGTATTACAGCTTATTCCAATACTAATATTACATTCCCCCGTCTAGAATATTTTGAAGTTATATTATTTGCCCTAGGAACATATCAGATTCAACAGGCAAGGTCTTATTATAGTGAACATATCAGGTTACACGGAGGGTATCGAATTGAAATAAGCAGAGAAAACATTAATGTAACAGAGTATTGTTTGAGAGGAAGTGGACATAATTCACTTATAAGAGGCAAAATCAAATCCAAACACATTTCCAGAAAAGTATATTATGTTCATATATCAAATGAAAATAATGTGTCGGGAAGGGAAAATATAATAGGTATTTCTGTAATTGTTTAGTTGGTAGAAGAACAGTTGGGTACAGCGCACATGTTATGACGCTTGTGTGGTACCTTGGGTGGACCAGGCATCAGCGGACAATATCACCAGTGCCAGCATCACTCCTTGATGTTGTAGTTGTAAGAAGATGATGAATAAAAAGTAATTTTGTCTAGCCTACTTATTTCATTAAAGTACTTCTAAATTCTACCATTACACTTCATTTACTCCCGTAACCTACCATTACTCGATTTTTCAATACATATGCAACTTTAGTATTGAAGACTGAAAGACAGTAGGTATCTAGCGACTAACACTCTTCAGCTAGAATTGAAATGGTCAAACTACAAAAAAGCCTTGAAATCTTTCAGGAAAGACTTCGTGTGACAATAATTACGCCACCCTTGTTTTTACACTATATACTGTGCTATATATGTAGGTGTTGTTTTTATTGAATTATCGTAAAAACGGTCAATTTCACGAGACGGTTTGACAGACGGCTCTTTTTCACATCGAACTCTAGGAGTATGATGCACATACGTAGGGTGCGCTTTGGGAGATGTTCTATTATTGGGTAATGAAATTATTTTAGAGAAATCTTTATAAATGGAAACGAGATCGCTAATTATCCTCCTCACTTATCGCTAACTACACTTTTAGGCTACATCACAGTCGGATAGAGCGTCCAAGCAAGGTTTTTCGTTAAAAATCAAAATGTACAATAAATTGCCTTTAGAAATAACAAGACTTCCATTAAACGCGTTTCGACAAATGACAAAAACATACTTTTTGAATCACGCTTTCTATAATATAGAATTATATATGAAATGTTCATTTTCTGACTTGCTTGATATGTAAATGTAGATGTATTTTAATTTGTAATTTTAATAATCTAATGTAATCTAATATTTTTTGAATTGATTGTAATTTTGACATACCAATGTTATATTTCAACGAAATGATCAATAAAAAAAGTAAAAGGTATTTGTTGATTCAGCCTTAAAAATATTGTTGACGTTATTATAAAAATCGTGGCTATTTAGACATTATATTTAAACGTCATTATGTTTACAACATAAAAACAAACTAATCTAACTATAGTTTGTTTTGGGACGTGAAAAAAAAAGTCAAGTCCAGCTCCTATAGAAATTTGGCCATCCTCCTTTTAAATATTTTTGTTTACAAATAACATGTGACGAAGATTAAATGTTTTGGAAGAAATTTCTGAAAATGCGATGATGTTCAATATCGTTTTTTTATTTCAATATTTTAAGATTAAATCTACTGATTTGACGTGGCAGAACACATGGTGTCGTCATGATGCAGCGGATGGTTAATAGCAAGACAACGGAGAATAAAGTTCAGGGCACGGTGGACAAGGTTCTGGGCACGGTGGGCAAGGTTCGGAGTACGGAGGGCAAGGTTCAGGCCACGGTAGACGAGGTGAGAGGCTGAGTGGTATACATGGTGGTGTGAACAAGCGGGCAGGTCTAACGCAAGGTGGGACTAGCTGCGGAACGCATATCGACGGTGGAGAGATGCAAGGCTCCCCTTGCTTTCCAATGCATACGATGGCCCTACTGGTGGTACGGTAGCATTGCCACGGTGCCTTCCTTTCTTTTGGCACAAAATATTGAAATAATAATTAAATATTTCTCATAACAAAACAAATTTATGTTGCAGAAGTTAAAGGCAGAGTCGGTAAGGGACGCCCTAGGCGAAAGATTGTCGACCAAATTGGCAATCTATTGAACATGTATGCGTAGGTATATGGATGTGAAAGAGGCGAGAGAGGTGTGTCAGGATCGTGCCAAATGGAAGTCCGTAGTCTCTGCTTACCCCTCTGGGTGACAGGTGTGAGTGCTTATGTATACGTATGTACGTATATTTCTCGTAATGTTATGAAATCTCTACATTTTCAGTTTACTTTTGTACTAATGATGCGTGTAAACATACCCGCATCTTGAGTTAAAACATCAGTCCAAAAACGCATTTGAGTGTTATTGTAACGAACCATTCTCTGACATTGAATTTCGTCTTATCTTCTACTATATAATATGGCGAATTTGGGAGGCCTATTATTTCAGCAGTTGAATTTTAATAGGCTGTTATGTATAAAAGAAAAGTATAAAGAACTTACAGTCCACGAGTTGGTAAGTGGCTAAAGCAGCATACTGACACATACAACAAACTTCAAACAAAGAAGTCTATAGATGCGTTTTCATCTCTTCAGGACTAAGATGGAATGTCTTACAGCCAGTAATTATGCTGGCTCTCTAATACTTTTAGACCGGAACAAGGCAGAGCACGCAATTCTGCTTGGTCGTAGAAATAGGTGACACCCTATCTGTTCCTGTGTCTACTCAGAGGACTCATAGGCTGAAAAGAAGCCCTACATTCTAAATGGAATAATTGTTAATCAAAAATGACTTGATTGCATTGCTTACCAAACACAAAGATCGTTGATAACCCCATGCCTACCAACTGTTACATTTTCGTTTTTTACGGTATTTTCATATGCGTTCTTTAATAAAAATGTTGATATACGTTTGATGTTCCATCATCCGTAACTTGGTTGGGCAAGGTCAAATTTTATTTTATGTTTCGTTAAATTAGATTAAATACATTAACTTTACTGAATTATTTTTAAATGGTAAAGCCGTGCCGCAGCTATAATACAGTTATAGGATTGGTTCTTCGCCGGTCAGGTGGAACCGTTTCGGTTTGACAGGGAAGGGCCAATGCTAATCTTCTTTTATCTATCACAAATCTTACTTAGATGCGACGCTGTGTCGCCGCTTGTTTGGTTCCCGCCTAGAGTATGTATTTGTATTGTATAAAAATAATTATCTCGGGCATGGATATTTATCTACATGCATTTATATACTAAAAACGCCTCCGTGATACATAAGAAATTTATAAAGTGGGGTGAATTCTTCAAAGCAGGGAGACGGAAAGAGAAAAGCAGAAAATAATTTTCAATTTCAAAACTAATTTAATAGCGATCGTGGCTTATATCAAGGATAGTTATCATGCGTTTTTGTTATTTAATCAAACTATAAACTTTGCATGAAATGCTTTTTAATTGTGATGAATTGATTAAGGTAATATGAAAATATTTTATGTAATATTCACAAACAATTTCGGCATATACAAAGAAAAAAATATTAATAATATTTTGTGCTAATTAAAGTGTTATATCATTTATTTTAAAATCTATATTTGCGATAAAAATTAATTACATTAATATATACAAACATTTTATTCGTACTATGTATAAATATTGAAAATTTTACTATTATTAATCAGACGACCGCAAGATGGCGTGGGGTAAAATAGTTTGGTTATCAGGTAACTATAATTATTGTTATTTTAAATTTATTTAAATACGAAAAATTTTATTGTGCCTCTTATGCAGGTAATATATTTATTTAGATTTTAGATTAAAAGTCTATTTGTCGTCATTTCTTTAGATCAAGTATACCGCTACTATCAAATTCTGATGTGTATCTCAATCGTTTCTCTAGGAGGTTATGGAGCAGATAAGAGTATGCTGCCTCGTGTAAATAGTAGATTTAATCAATGCTCGACTTTCTAATTAAATTATCATTAAAATTCCTAATGGTGTCCGAGTATTTTTAATGTTGCGTACTTAATACTTATGCCAGATTAAATGACAATGACAGATTTTAGATGAGTCATCGCGTATCTTAATAGGATATAATTACTTATTTATTTTTATATTTTGATACTTTGCAGCTCTTATTTTGGGTACGACTTTAAGTCTGCCGATACCTGATCCAGATGCTCAAATTTCTTACACGGAGTATCCCCCTTGTGAACCCTGTGAGCCAGAACCTTCGTGTGCTCCTTGTAATCCATGCTCACCTCCGTGTTGTGATGGTAATGAGGTCATAAAGATTGGACCTTGCAATCCTTCTGAGCGACCTGTTAAATATTTGTACGTTCAAGCACCCCAAGGTGAGGATAAAGTGTATACAGCAGTATATAAGTATACAGTATATAAGTGTTTAATGCAAATTAAATTGGATAAAAACAACCAAAATAAAATTAAATAATATAATAATATTTATATGAAGAAGTTATATATCCAAATTTAATAACAACAGGTTCAGTGATCTTTAGACCCGGTCAACTCGGTTAGAAAAAGCTTTCTTACACTACTGAGGACATGTTAATTTCAAAGTGACTTGTGATGAACATTTAAAATCTTTTACAAAATTCTAATAAAGTGATAGAACGTACCTACGGGCATTGCAAAAAATATAGTGATAAAATTACGACGAGAGCATGAATCTGTAACAGCTAGTAGCAGTAAAATGAAAACTTTTACAAAAGCAAAGTGACATAGAAAGGAATATTTAGACGGATTTTCTTTAACATCATTAAGAAATTTAATGTATTATATATATATATATATATATATATGTGGTGGGAAAAGAAATACCTACAATGCGCAAGATCATGGCAGCTGTAAAAAGACCTTAACTATACAGACAGGAACTGAAACAACATTAAAAAAAATAATTAAAAGTGATTAAGAATATCAATTTAAAAGATGCTACCAGAAAAGACTGACTCTAGTAGAAAGACTCCAAATTCAAGCGTGGAGGGCTAAATATTTATGATGCATTAAAAACAATGACTTGCTGAGCACAAACAAAAAAACCTGTTATCTATCTAGATGAAACATGGATACACGCCAATTACACTGTAAAAAATTTTTGACAAACACCAACCTATATTAGAGTGACAGCCCTGGCTGCCGATGGAGAATAGTGCACGCGGGAAATGAAACCGGTTTTGTAGATAATGCACTTTTAATGTTTTAGGCAGAAACAAAACCCGGGGACTATCACCATCAAATGAACGCTAAAAAATTTCACAAAGTGACTGACTGAAAAATTGATACACAGCTAACCAAGCAATTAAATTATTGTAATGGACAACTCATTCTTTCATAGTGAGGAAGAAAATAAATCCTAGAAAATGGGTGATGGTTGAGTGGCTCCAAGCTCACAACATCGACATTTCGAATAATTGCGCTAAACCGGAGTTATATTTATTTAAAAAAAGTTAGCTGACTAGTGGCCACAAAGTAGTAGGATTGCCACCATATTACTGCGACCTCAATTCTATCGAACAAATTTGGAACTTTGTCAACCAGTGAGTTTTAGAAAAGAATGTAGAACAATTAGAAAGTACTCGTAAAATTGAATTTTTGACCTTGGAGGCGTTGAACTCAATAACTCCAGACGATTGGAAGAAAGAAGTTAATCACCTGAAGAGACATGAAGAAGAATAATGGCGTAAAGACCGAATAACTGACAAATTATTTATCATCAATACGGCAGACGACAGTGAATCTGATACAACAGACTCTGAAAATGGTTTTGATTTAGATAATAATATGAGTGGAATTGAAGAATATAATATAAAGAATTATTAAATTGTATTAATAAACACCGATTTTTTAACAATTGGTTTTATTCATTAGTTATCCATCAAAATTGGTTGAGAGGTTTAATGAAAACGTATCAAACAGACAAGACTTCTCTCACGTTTGTTATATTAGTAGGTAATTTAATAGTAAATATTTATAATGAAATACCTATAAATATATGTATATAATATAATATAAATAATTATAACCCTATGTTATTAACTTTATTCATCAGAGGTGGCAACACCTAACACGAAAAGATTAACTTTTTTGTGTCTCTATTTTTTTGCGGTGGACGACGTAACGCAGCTGTTATTGTTACAAGGTTCCATCGCAATATTAATGTGCGGGGCTTATAGGTATACATTTATTTTTGGTATTATGCCCCCAATTTATCATCCAAATATTCCTTTATAGAATAGTAAGCCTTATCAAGTTGTTTTAAATTATTTCGTGGTAGACCCATGCTGCAGTTATATTAGTAGTATAGTTCTAGCACGAATGGGTCGGCTCAACCAGGGAAGAATCACACTCTCACAGAATACTAGCGTAAAATAGTAGCTTAATGTTGCTGTGTTTCGTGTGGTGAGTGTAGAGGACCGGAGACCCTTTTTACTGGATTCGAGGCATTCCATCTTAGTCCTCAAGGGTGACATGGCATCTGCAATTTAATTCGTAATCGAGGATACATGTATATGTTTATGGGCCACAACAACCACTACCACACGGTAGTATAAGGTATGGTATAAGGTGGACTGTGTGCTCATTTGTCGCCCTATCCTACAAAAAATATTATCAATGGAGATGAACGAAATTGTGTGCTTAACAACGTTTCGAACAGTTATACAAAAATATGTAGATTATAAAACGATAAATTATAAGCATAATTAAATGGTTTTTATTTCTGTAGTTCTAGCAAAAAACATAAAAACATAATTTAAACTGAAAGACGAAAGCTAATGCTTTTACTATAGCAGAAACAAAACGTTATTTAATATATTCTGTATTTTGTCTATGTCTATTATAATAAATAACAATGGCTTTTTTACCAAGATTTTTGGCATGAATGCTTGTCTTTTAAGTTATTCGGGATTCATTTCATTCGGGATGTTTGTTTATAGACTTTTTTGTTCATAATATACTAATGTGTCACGTTGCGAAGTTTTTGAGCAATTTTGAAGACAGCCTATCCCAGCGGATAGTCGATAACGACAGTCACTCAAGTTCATATGGCGCCTAAGTGATCAATATTACTTGAAGTTTATATTAACGTCGATGCACTTGTTTCGTCGATTTCTCTAATAGTTCACACGCGCAAACAATTAATTCACAAAAACGCATCACTTTTACGTATCAAATGCACTTCAAATCATTATTTAAACGATGAAGCTCTAAACAACAATCCACCCACGGTAAAGTTCCCTACAAAACTCCATAAAGAAGGCTATTTTTTTTTCAACGTTTCCATGATGTATATAGACTTGATCTATTGACCTATTAAACGATTTGTGGAGAAATATTAACAATAACTTTATTTCATTTTTTTATTTAACTTAAAATGTATATAATTTAATATAAAGATAAAAATAACTTAACACTATTTAGGGAACTTTCTTTTTTGGCGCGTTCCTGTATCGGCGATTCACTAGCCCAGAAGGCCATAAATCGGGAGCGAGGAATGTCTCTGTGTATTTTGATAAAGGCGAGGAACTCGTGGATTTCAATCGTACCGAAGCGTTAAGGGTTGACAAGCCATTCCGAATTATTTTCGTTCAGTAGTATGCTTACGCCACGAAAATATTGTAGGTGCAATATTAGACTCGCCACATCGTTGAGAAGCGACTGCACTGACCGGTAGTAGAATCGCGACTGAAAACTCATAATATTGAAATATTAAGGTATATTTGTGGAGATTATTGTTGAATAAAAGAAATCTAATTAGAAAAAAAAAACTGAACAGGCTATTCTATTTAACTCAAAAAACATTTGAATAATACTTTAAACACACTTGAATAGGCTTTATCATCAACGATCATTGCCAGTTTAGAAGGAGACGATTTTAATAACTCTTTGTAGTAACTGCGAGATGCGTAGACAGATAAACCTATAGACTAATTGGTGCGTTTGGCAGAAAAAAGCGCTAGCAAGCGCTTATAAGCGCTAAAATAGTTTTCGGCCAGGACACGATTGCTACTTCAGTAGCGCTGACACAATCCGCCATTTTGCTTATTTAATTTGTTTGTTTTGAAGTAGAGTTTATAAGTTGTTTTGTGCAATATTAGTTTTAAGTAATATAATTACATGAATAAACATATACATGCTATTAAAAATTCATGATTGGTAAGTTTTTAATATGAATACTTTACAAACATGTATTTAAATTAGGTTAGATTCCCCGGTTAAAACTAACATCGTGTCCTGGAGGAAAATAGCTACTTACGATTTGACAGCGCTTACCGCTTACGATCGCCATTTTGCTTACAAGCGCTTGCTAGCGCTTTTTTCTGCCAAACGCACCCAATGATTAGCGTGGCCTCGAGTGAGAAAAAACGATAACGTAGTTTTTGGTTATACAATAATCTTTATGACTTTTGAACATATTTAGATAAAAATTTTAATTGTTCTAAGAACTGAACTGAACAAGATTCACCAATTTTAAGTTTAAAAAAACACTTTTTTTCTCACTGAAACCAACTCATAAACTCCTTAGATCGTTACGAACTGTCAAAGTTGTTTAGCAAAGTGTAGTTTGCTAAACAAAAAACCCGGTACGGAGAAAGGGACAAACAATCACGGCGCTCTGTCTCAGTTCTATGCAAGACATATGCATAAATATATCTTTTTCGTGTGAGAATGCGAAAGTAGGCGTCAATTTGTCTATAGATTTCTCTGTCTACGGCGAGATGCGAGTTTCAACTTGTCAATGCGCATTTGGCATTGTCCTTGCGGTTTGTGTTAGGTTTTGTTTTTTTTACTTCGTGGATTTATTAACTTGAACCTTGGCTTTTCTCTCGGATTTCAAAGTGCATTGTGATTACCTGGCATTTGTGTTACGGACTCTGGATTTTGCCGAGCGAATATGGATTTTCGTGGAATTAACACAACCCGCCATTGGGGATACTTTTTCGATAATAACGGTATTTCTTAAATAATAAAAAAGTTTTCAAATTATTTAAGCAACTTATGACAAAAATTAAAGATTTAACAACATAACTTACAAATCATAAAAACCAAAATAAAAGCTAAATCCCAGGTCCTGCAAAAATATGATTTTTGACTTGATTGATGCTTGATTAGCAAATGTTTAAATCCTCAAAATGAGACATATTTGAGCTTTGTTCACGCCGGGCCCAAGCTTGTATTGAAACCATGTTCATCTCGTTTACTTACCTGGAGGGCTTTTACAGAGTTAGGCAAATGGTTGTACAATTTGACTAACATATAGAATAACCCCCCTTTTTTTATAAATCAAGGCAAAAAAATGTGTGGGTCACTCATGGGCAAAAATACTATCCTA